CCTCCAGGAGAGCCCGGACCTCAAGGTCCACCAGGACCTCCTGGTCAACCAGGAAGCGATGGAGCTCCGGGACAACCAGGACCAAAGGGCCCCAACGGTCCAGATGGCCCGCCTGGAGCCGATGGAAATCCAGGAGCCCCCGGGCCTGCTGGACCTCCTGGACAACCGGGAGAACGTGGTATATGTCCGAAGTACTGTGCAATCGATGGAGGTGTCTTCTTTGAAGATGGAACTCGACGTTAACTTTGTCGCTTATAATCAAGAAACAAAACATATTCTCACTCGTAGAATAAATGTTCATCGACTCGGTCTCACACATTATTGGTAATAATTTTTTCTGGTTTTCTATTTTAGAACATCACAGCAAGCTTTGTTAAGCAACCCATGTCATACTAACCCTCACCTTACATAAGATAAAATAAGAACGGCTCTTTCGCTTTTCGTGTTGAGCGAGAAGGCAGGCTTACCCTTTCCACGTTAGATTAAAAAGGTACTAACTCGTCTGAGGAAAAAATGGAAGCTATCGTAGACCTATTTGTGTTTTTCCCGCCGAATACAAGGAAAGAGTCCTGCAGCTGAACTGTATCATAACACAATGATGAAAATAAGCTCGCATATAAAAAGGTTGATTGCAGAAGATTTATGGTAAAAGAATTTAGGATGTTATCATAATACAGGATTCTAATCTATATTTTCAGTCATATTTTGGACAAAAATCATGCATTTGCGGATACTTCCACTTGCGAGTGCACATGAGAATGTCCCCTTTTGTATCGTATATGCCTTGTAGTACTAAATATTCTTTGGTAGAAAAATTTACAATTTTATGCAAGAGAAGTTGCAAAAATTCATGGGTTTCTTTCCAAAATGTTCTTTAAGAAGATTTGTAAGTTTTTGTGCATAAGTTTTTTTACAGTTCTCTATAAATAGACTGCAGCTTGTAGAGTATTGAACGTATTTCCAAATAAACGAAGATGAGCGCTTGTTATAAGGGGCATTTTCAGATAAAGTAAGAACATGAAGGGTGGCGCCCTGAGCAATGCAGTATAAAGATTTTTACTCACAGTTGCAAAGACAGCTATTAATTTTTTTCTCAACAACATATGGTCTTTTCAAAAGTGGAGAAGATAAAGATTATGGGCATGCCCCTTTTGTTGCAATTTCTTTTTTTTTTCTCTAAAGAGATTAAGAGCAATTTATTTCAAAAGATATGACTTACGTGGAAGCCTATAATCCGAAAGAAATGGAAATTGAGTTTTGCTGTTTCATTTTCCGAGGTTGTCTCAATCCTCGTAATAAGCTCGCAAACCGATCTACTTCATATTGAAAACTTGCGAGGGGAGTTTCGAAGGGGTCATGCAGCAGAGTGTCGCAAACTTTTTGATTGTGTTTTGTTATGAAAGAAAAAATGAAGCGGAGAACATGAGAATGGCTAAGGACCTGTGGCTATAAATCCTCTCACTCCCTCTACCTCGACGGAGTAGAAGTTTGATGTGACCTCCGTTCACCTGATAAGTCCGTAATCACTTTAGGTCGCTCGTATGGCGCATTTGGCTTATAGAAGAGAGTAGCTAACTTACCTGTAATAAACATATATTTTGCTACCATTACATTAGATCACATTTCGCTAAATTCCTTCTCAATGCTACAATGAAACCTTACCTAGGGGAAAAAATTGGCGCATGATTAAAGTATGGGGCGTTGCTACCAGCATAGTGCTGCACAAATAGTCATTAAATTTTGTGAATCTCTTGCGAGGTACTAATTTATCTAATAATACCTGCTGCAAAAAACAACAACATTATCCTATTCGAAGTTTTGTTTATTTAGGAGGGCAACCGTACAAGTTTGCGGGTGCAAAATTACGTTTTTCTTGAACAAAAAGGTTTTTAGCCGCATTTTGTTCTCTCCGTGCTGTCAGCTGTCATACTAAGCTCAACAATTATAGCTGCGAAAAGTGTCCTTCTTGCAGATAACTAGTTTTTTTCTAAGCATCAAACAAACCAGCTCAGACTACAGTAGGTCTCAAAGCAGTTTCTAGAGGCCACGTGCCACCGAAAGCAATTGTGTTGCAAAAGAAGGCTGCAGTTGGGTTTACGGCAATGGCGGATGACTTGCAAAGCAAAAGCACGCTTCATATATCAAGACGTCTGAAC